TTTTTCAGAAATGGAATAACATTGCATCTGTAGTTTGTGATAAAACCATCCTTTGATATAAATTACATGTTCTTTTTTCCTGAAATAAATCCTGCAGTATTACAAAGTTAATTAATTTGGTACAGATGGCTTCTTTAGTGTCATCAAACATTTTTTACTGCAGGAATACCATAATTAAAATACAGATTCTTGGTTTATTAATATATACTGCACATGCTTATGTCATGTGGGTTTTCTAACCTGTGATAGAGTTTCTTTGATCCTTTTTTCAGTCTCCAAAAATACAATTTCTTCTTCATTTTCTGTGCTTCATTTTCATCATCCCATACATCATCCTGTACATAAACAAGGCCATAACGTGGGATTTAGTTGCTAAAGATAAAATCTCCATGTAGATCACATTGACATACTTTGTTGTGGAGTAAGCAAATACACTCTTTCTTAAACATTTTTTTAAACTTAACTAACTCTGCTTACAGACGTCAGTTAAAATAATTTAACTATTCAACCTGAAAATAAAAAGGAAGTATATTTTAGGTGTTTACTGCAATATTAAGTTTTTTTTTAATTTTATAAACTTGCAAAAACATTTTGAAATGCATTTGTACACTCAATTAAACAAATCATTAAATAAGTGTGTTATTTTCTAATGAGATATATTTCAATGTATACTGTATCAACATGCAATGACAGATCTGTGAGAGAGGGAGAGCCATGGCTCACCCCGAAAATGAGTGTGACATACATTCAACCCTCCATGCCACTTGCGTAGTGGGTGTTGCTCTGCCACATCGTCATGCCAGTCTTCAGCTATGTTGTGCATGGCTCTGATATGCCCGCTGTCTGTGGACAAGGTATTTATGTCCTGGTACTGCAGGCGGGTCTGTCCTTTCTCTACAAACAGCAGATTGAGTCTTCCTGCATTCAAAAGCTGAAAGTCCCAGTACAGCTAGATCAAAATGGAACAAAAAAGAAATATATTAAAGAACAACAAAAAAAGGACTTCTAAGTTTAGTTTTTGTTATATTGCAAGTGCTACGCAAATGAGCAAGACATCTTATATAATAGTATTTCAGGTGGGTAGCTGTCAGCATGCATAGGCTGCAAGGGAACAATAGGTTTATTCCATGCTGAAAAGAGAAGAAAGGAAATATGTTTTGGCTGTGGACCCTTCTTCGGGTGTGTCATATAATAGTTTTTTTCTATGTTGTCACAGTCTCATCCTTCAATAGTTTAGAGGTGTAGATAGAACGCAACAATAATGATGGCACAGCCACAATTGCAAAGAAGTGCAGTGGTGTTTATGATGAGGAACTGTGTTCTCAAGGTCCACACCCCAAAAAACAAAGTGAAAAATACAAACGAACCAAGGGGAAAAAACACAAAACTATAGTACAATAATGTACAAATTAATTGATTTAAAAATAGATTTGTTGTAGGCAGCTCCACTTCCACACTACAACCAACTTACTCCCATCTTTTTTTCTCCTAGCTTGAGGAGCTCCTTTTCTAGGTTAAACGCCTCCTCCTAGAATATTCCACTATAGAGCAAAAAATAATTCTACAAAATAATAATCAGAATTCTGATATACACCTTTCTCTATTGAGTACACAATTAAACAATTAAGACATTATTAACAAAAATAAAATGGCATTAATACTTTTATATACATAAATATTTTAAAGAAAAACTACCCCCTCCTAATGGTATGTTCTTATAAATCGATCCACACATGCGCAACCCTGAAACAGGCACTACTAAGCCAGCCCCAGTTTCCATACCAAGGTTTGTTCCTACAGGCTGCGGGAGAAACCAAAACAAGGTATTGTAACGCAATGAGCCCCCAGTCGGGATGGGGCCGACCAGATGCGGCAAGGGCGCCCGCCTGAGCCCCCGTTGCGTTACAGTATTTAATTGAAACACCTGAGTAAAGCACCAATTTAGTTCATTTCACTTATAAAACAAAGAAAAACAGGTGTTTGGTTTGAGTTAATGTTTAATTTTGACCATGCATTTGTGCACCCACAGAGTAAGCAAAGC